GTTTAATAATACATAAAAACACACTTACATATGCATACATATATGATTTTCTTGAACTCTGAATTGAATACTGTATATTTTATTATGATAATGTTTAAGTGGAATAAAAACATCATTAGTACTTTTAAATATTGCTTTCTATAATTTCTTATGAATAATCATTTGTCATTTGTGTTTAATTTAAAAATATTCTTTGGATGTTAGATGTTGATCATATTTCCATTATTTTGGGGTGCTTCTGATAATAGAAACTATGAAAATATTTAAATATCCAAATAAAAACTGAATATTTCTATGTCAGTATTGCTAATTATTAGCACCATTTTACCTTTAACTAACATCATGTTGCAAATTGCCACCGTAAGAAATATGTATCAGCTACTTATCACATGATGAGTTCCATTTATATGTTTCTACATAAGTCATGGTATGTGAAAGCCTAACAGGTGACATTGAAATAATTTTGATTTGTTTATTTTTGTCTCAAAATCATGAGAGGTTAGTAATTCCTGATCAAAAGTAATTATGTTCATTCTAGAAAGATATAACAGAATATGATTTTAAGCTATTAACTATATTATATAGGTATATTTATATTTAAGTAAAACATACAATTATGTTTCTTTTAATTTTCCTCATTTTATAAGTGTTAATACATATTTCAAAATGAAAAAAAATTCTCTATATACTTGCATGTTTCTACCTCTGAGTCTCAATATAAAATATTTACATCATGTTATTGTATATTTATTCCATTTGTTCTCAAGAGTCTTTTTAAACTTCATGAATCTACAAATTACTAAGTTTCTCTCTCTTATGCTGCTGTTTACACACCTCTACAGGCTCATGACTTTTGTCCTAATACATGTTCAGAAAAGTTTCAAAGACCAATTAGACTTTGAATTTAAGCCTTCAAGTTTTTAGTCACATATTAACATGAAAGCCTTAGAAATGACAACATTGTTTCTCTGTCAAGAAATGACATAGTTGAGTAATACTTCATTGTGTATATGTACTACATTTTCTTTATCCATTCTTCAGTTAAGGGGCATCTAGGTTGCTTCCAGGTTCTGACTATTAGGACCAGACTAGACCCTCTGCATATGGGAGACAGTTGTGTAGCTGGGTATGTTTGAAGGGCCCCTGGCAGCATGATCAGGTGCATGAGCTAGCTTTCTGAATCTCATTACCTATGGTCTGACACCTTGCTCACCCTTGAGGCAGTGGGGAGGGCCTGGGTCCTGCCTCAACTGAATGGGAGAACTTTTGCTGGATCTTGCTCTGTCGACCAGGCTAGCCTTAAACTCACAGAGATCTGCCTGCCTCTGCCTCCTGAATGCTGGGATTAAAGGCGTGTGCCACCACCGCCCAGCCCCATGGGAGAACTTATCAATTTGGAGGAGGGGATCGGTGGTGAGTCAGGGAAGGTGGTTTTAGGTAGGTGTGGGGGCATCAAGAGGAGGGATGAGAGGGAGATCTGTGGTTGGTATATAAAAATGAATAAAAAATACTTTTAAATAAAAAATTGTGTAATGTCTGAAGAGTCATATTACTACATTACTAAAGAGTCTATCTTATTGTTCTACCTACAACTGAAAATGTCCTTTTTTGTTATTACCTTGAGCATCAATGTCTAAGTTGGATATAAATACTCTTGTGTGTGTCTGTGTGTGTGCATCTGTGTGTGTATGTTCAGAGTACATGAAAGTTGCTAGATGGAAGAAATTGCTATAAACTTATTTGTAAAAAACAGTAACTCACAAAATCAGTGAGAATGCCCACGTTTTTCATAGTCTATATATTATATATTCTATATATATTTTCTGTATTTCAACTTAATTGCTAAATTAATTTTACTTTAACTGATTCATTTGAAAGATCAGAAATTTATTCATATAGAGGCATGTGACTTTTTGTGTATGTTAGCAATGGTAAATAGATTTGAATGCTTTTTAAAGGATTTTTATTGAGCAAATTTGAGCTTATTGAAAATATGAGTGGAAAAACTTAGAAGGAAACAGAGAGTTTTTTCTATGTATTCCCCCTCTTACTCTAAGCATGTTCAACATTTTCATTTTAGAATTTAATATTTATTGTCACTTAGAAACACAAGGTAACACATTGATAAAAATAAAACCCACAGTTTATGTCACAGTTCTCTTGGTTTACAGGTTGAATAGGGACACAATTATGGTGGTATCTGAGTGTGACTGAGCAAGCTTTATGCTAGTAGAGTTCTCTTGTTATTCTGTATAACTTACAGTGGGATGCCACTTATCAGTTACAGTTCACACTCAAATATAGAAGGTGACAGATAAAAAAGCCTAAGATACAAATATCCTCATCACGAGTATTCACGTGTGTGTATGTATAGTTTACCTGTTTCAACAACATTATGCACAACTGAGTTTTCAGAAATTGTATCATAATATTGATAACTTAGTAAACTTTTCTAAGAAAAAAAATAATTTCCAGATTCTGTTTTAGAAAGGAGAATGATTTTCAATTAGAGAAATAGAGTGTTCCGTGGTCACTGTGTATACCAACCCATAAATGTTTGACAGTCATTATCATGGGTGTTTGGGATGTCTATCTGAAGCTTACATTGAAGCTCACAGCATCAGGACAAGGAAGGTTGTGAGAAAAGTTGGGGCTCAAAGGAGAAATGTTTCTAATAAAATGTAGATAAACAGGAGAAAGAAGTGAGTTATCAGGTGGGTTCTTTTTTAAATTTTTTTATTCATTTTTAAAAAATATTTTTATTTTATAATTAACTTAATTTCACATATCAGCCACGGATTCCCCCATCCTCCCTCCTCCCACCCCCAGCCCTCTCCCCCCAATCCACCCCCCATTCCCACCTCCTCCAAGGCAAGGTCTCCCCTGAGGAGTCAGTCCAGCCTGGTAGACTCACCCAGGTGGCTTCTTGAGAGAAGTATTTGTTTTTGAGAAACTATAACTGGATTGGGTGAGCTCTGACACTAAAGATCATGTACTGACTGGGACAATTCTGTTTAGGTCAATAGTCAGGCAAGAAACATAAAGTCAATGTTCCTTAACTTCTAATTACTAGATAATGAGTTAGTTCTAGAGAATGTGTGCAAATGAGGTACATAGTTAGGAACAAGTTAAGGGATTCTGTTTAGTCTGCCTTTCTCTGTTTCAGGTAACCCATCTAAATCCCAGGACATCAAAAGGTAATCATTTTAGCAGGCAAGGTCAAATTCCTCCATGCATAAGAACATATTCAACTGTTTCTCTTGCCCTCTGGCAGTTGTCCCCAAGGAAGAGCCTGAGCAAGATGAAAGGTGACATCCAGACTATTGTAGAGAAGTTACAGCTACTCAGCCGAGGTCTCCACTGTTATGTCTTTAATCTCTTTGCGACTGACACTTCAGTTAGGGTCATGATCCCCTGAAACTGAGTCACGCACACTAAAACAGCCCAAGAACAGGGGCCATGGGTAGTTGTATATTACTAATATTACCTAATCCAAGGTATACTGCCATAACTATTTATTATCTTCCCCCTCCAGAATACACATGAACTGTTCCCTTAGAGATGATGTTTTCCAAGCTATCATATCAAGATGTGCAGTGGTTTCTGTAATAATAATAATAATAATAATAATAATAATAATAATAATGATAATAAAGATTTTATCACATGGATGTATGGTATTATTTGATAGTAGCAAGTGACAGGCAAGGAAATCACATCACTAACTCAGTTATGAATAGGTAAGTACTGAGCTATAGATATTTTGGTTCTAGTGGGTATTTATTGAACACCTCAGTGGTATCATCTTCCCATGTTCTTCTACTTTCTATTTGCACCCTTATTCTCCTTAAAGGGAGTTGGTAATGATATATAATGTTTTAGTTATCAGCTACTTTATACCTGTATGTATTACATAGTACTCTGTAAGTAGGAATTATTGTTCCTTGATCAATTTGACATAGTACTGCTTATAACATTATCTTTAGGGTATGTGTTATGATAGAATAGATACAGACAACATTTTGTTAAAGGTACAGTATGTTAGACAGTTAAAGATTCCCTATAACTACCTCTTCCTTGTGAAACACTATGTGACATAGCGACACAATGAAGGGGACATGACTGGGCCTAAAGAAAATACTGGTTAAATATGCTAGAGTTTGGCTCTTTTCAGCTACATGAGATATTTTTTTAATTGGTATAAATGTCCTATTTTAAAAGATATCTGAATAAATGAATGGCCAGAATTATGTTGATTCCCATACCTAATATTGTATTGGTTAAAATAAATAATTAATATGGTCTGAAATACACATGACTTTTATAAGTCTTACCTCTCTATGTAGAATACTATAACATTAGTATAAATATCCAGCATGCAGAAGTTGCCAAACCTAATCCTGGTTGATAAAATGCCAACAGGGGACATTAATAAAGAAATAAAATGAGGCACAGCCTTCAGAGATCCCTTTCAGAAAATCAAAAACTAAATTTCCATATATCAAATTTGTAGGAAATTTCTTTAGGACTTTATCACTAACTCAGGTTGAATGTCTACTTGGAGAAGTTGTTTCAAATAGTGTCCATTATTACAACTACATTACAGACTACACAGGAGGTTGCAGGAACAGCTAAAAGCTCTTGTAATTACAAATAGCATGATTATAATGTAATTAACAAGGGCCTGGCATTTACATATAGAAGCAAATTAGGTTGCAAATATCTTGACTAAGCTTGAAATAGAAGGTTTTTCATCTCTAGAATGTTACAAATTATTTGAAATAAAAGCAATACAAAAACAATTATGAATACAAAGCAATCATGATTTCCTTATGAGAACAAATATTACAGATTGTATGTTTATATTACATTCAGATAATTTGAAATCAAAGTTAAAAAGCTATTTGGAATGGACTTTATTACCAAAAAAGGGACAAGTCATTATTTGATCAATACAAGTAAATTATACAGAGCCAAATTGTGTGTTCTCTCATTCCCAGGACCTCTTACTGTTATACACATGAGAGAAGATTGTATCGGTGAGTAACTAAGTTGCTAGGTTCAGCTAATAAAGCCATTATATCCATTGTATCTACTACATACCCCATATATAGAATTTAAGCTTACAGTATAGATGACTTCCCAGATATGTCCGATCTATGAATAATTCACATTCTCATAAAATACATAAAAACAAAGACTATAATTCCTTATTATATTTTTCTTAGTATTGTTGCTACTAATAAGCTGTCCCATGCTACTTTGAGGGTGAGTTTGTAAACAGAATATTAATAATAGGTTTAAATCCTTTTTCAGGTTGTTACATGATCATTCTGCATGATCTAGAATCTGTATTCCAATGATAACAAGGATGTAATAACTAATAACTTTACTAATCAAATGGAAAGTGAATTCTTAAACAAACGTCCTTCAAAGATAATTTTCATATCCTAGAGTGTATAAGATTGATATCAACAAATTTCACAGGTAAATAGGCAATTTATTGCTTCTTTTTAAGTTTTCCATGATGCTTATGATTGTGTTAGGGTTCATATGAACTCTGCGTTCAGAAACTATCAATTCCAAACTACATATGCATTAATTGAAAGAGGAGAGCTGTGAAGGAAATCTATCTCCATGGCACTGAGAAGAGGTCCACAGGGTTCTGAAAACTTTTTTAAGATAAGGAGTGCCTCTTGCACATACCTCTTGCTCTCTAGTAGCCAGGTGTAGAAGTAACTGTCTTATTAAATAAGAAACACAGAACCAATGAAAAGATGAAAGCCCAAGAGATCAGAGCTAAGAGCCTTACCCTTTACTGCTGCAGCTATCCTCTTCAGCCAAGAGACCTGCTTCCTGTGTGTTTGTCTTTATATAGACTTTCTGTTCTGCCTTCTCATTGGTTGTAAACCCAACCACATGACCGCCTCCTCACTGCCTGTCTATACAGATCTCCAGGTCTTCTATGGTTGGTATTGAGATTAAAGGCATGTGTCTCCATGCTGGCTGTATCCTTGAACACACAGTGATCTGCCTAGCTCTGCCTCCCAAGAGCTGGGATTAAAGGCGTGCACCACTACGACCCAGATTCTGTAATGGCTTGCTATTAGATCTGACCCCCAGGCAACTTTATTTATTAACATACAAATAAAATCACATTTCAGTACAAATAAAATATCACCATAGCCAAGGTCTGTTCCATTAGACTTATGAGTCAACAATATATCTAACAAGGGAAAAATTTGGTCCTCAGTGCTAGTCTTCATATTTGTGTAAAGCACTTTATGTGTATATCATAAATACATGTGAAGTTCCAATGGTTTGAAGAATATATTTCTTTCAGGAGGAAAAGAAGACATAATCAAATCTCAGAATTTTTAAATAATCAAACTGGGACTGAACTTATTCAGGTTGTTTGTATCTGAATTTTATATTAAGTCTAAAATTCCATCTATGATGATTTCAGAGAATTAGAGAAACCTAGAACTGAAAGACATTGCTAAAGATTATCTTTTCTAACTTTCTTCCCAGCATTGATTATCTAATACCACACAGTTAAAACTGGAGTGCAGAGAAAGCAATTCATCGGCACATACTGCAATTGTTCATTAATTTTAAAGTTTAGGTTATTGCTTAGAGGTTCAAGTGAACAAAATATAATTGAGCACCCCTACCTGCTCCTTGAAAACCAGGTCTGAGCCTGAGTCACACACTGTGCCAGCCAAAAGCCAACCCAAAACTTGTACACAAGAAATATTTTCTTTGAAATCTAGCAGTGGGCTTTCCACAGTGGGTTCAAAGAGGAAATGCAGAAATGATTCAAAAATTAATAGCGCTTTATCTATACTGAATACAGTTCAAAACACTATTTAATGTAAGAGACACAATTTTAGAGTGATTGAAGTTAACCTGACAGCTTATTGACATGTGCTATAAAATGCTGAAACAGTGATGTGCTTAGAGAGGCTTACCATAAGTCCCATGATCAGAAATTGTATCAGCTCAAAAAGAAAACAATTGCACAAACAAACAATTTGAGTATGAAACTAGATCTGTATGTCCAGCAGAGACTTCCATTTAAAAAACAAAAACAAACAAACAAACAAACAAACAAACAAACAAAACCCTTCTCCAGAATAACAGTGCTCACTGGAAATCTTAGGGAAGAGAAATCTTTCTGGACTTAAGCTCTAGAGCAAAGGCACTAAGGAATGGAGTAGTGTCCCGGGGCTGGGTGACGGCCTGTGTTTGACTTGTTCTGCTATGAGGTTGGAGTAGCAACTGCTTAGTCTATAGGTATGGTCTACCTATTTCTATGCATTCTCTGTGAACACTACCCCATGTTATGCTATTTTACGTTGCTATGCTGCAGAGTACATTCTGAACAAAGAAATAAGAAGTAGATAGGAAATCTGATTCAAGTTCCTAGGAGCTACAGGATAAACTGGCTAGCACAGGAATGCGACACACTTCCCAGGCTGGGAGGACTTAACATTTAAAGCAAGTGTTCCTGTGCAGGCAGCACTCACAGCATACACTGAAGTTGGCAACACAACTATGATTTCTCCTTCTTAAAACCTCATAAGACCTCCTCTTCAAAGAGATTTATGAATAATGTGAACTAAATAATTCATGGGCTTGCAGATGCCTGTCCAAATAGCCTCTTCCTTTTCAAGGTTTCAGTTTGTGGAACTGTGATCAAAAGCCTTCATCAGTCATGATAGTTGCATTTGTCCTCACTCCAAACAAACCAGATTTGCATGTGAATGTTTTTCATTGAAATGAGATATAGAATGTGCCAGCCAAGGCCTAACTAAAAGGCATTTTATGCCATTTAAATTCAGTCAAATTAAAGGCTGAATGCAACCTAAAAGGTCTACTCTCAGAACAGTAATTTGACACATCATAAATAAGAACCATTTTTTGTTCGCATAGGTTCAGCACTTGTCAGAAAATTGTACACAGCCATATTAACAAAGCGCTGCCTCTTAGTGAGAAATAAGCGAAGAGGAAAGCCTCGTGTGTAAAGCAACAAAACACACAAACAAACATTGTGCTGAGGTTCAAAGTTGACATTTTTCACTGACATTTACAGAAGAGCACAGAAAGCATTTTAACCTATTTCCCTGCTCAGAGAAATGGTCAAGCATGACTTTTTTTTTTTTTAATTTAAACTACAAATCATGTTTAGGAACGTAGTTGTTAATGCTTACCTAAGAGCACGTGCCTGTTAACTCAACAACTAAATTCTTGCTTCTGCACAGACTTGAGCACAGGGACAGCATTGGAGATATTAAAAATGTAAGTGATCAAAGTGAAAACTCAAACGCTTGGGAAAAGTGACACACACCTCTGAAGGACCTTGTGGTTTAGAGATCTGTTTTATTACTGATTATAAACAGATTTTATAACTAAATTTTCAGCTCTTATCGACTGAAATTAAATTGGCAACTACATTCAGCAAAGGGCAAGAATTCAGAGGGCACAAGGAACTCTATAAAACTCCAATAAACAAAACAGAATCAGTATTGTTTAAATTTCACTGTGAATTTACCTTTATTCAAAAATATTCCTTTATATTTTCAGGACCTTGATTTACATTTAGGCAGATCTACTTAGTTTTCTTCTAATAGTAGCTTTTTGTTGTTGTTGTTGTGTTTGCATTTTGAGCAAAATGGAAACAAATACTATAGTTTGCATATTGAGCAAGAAATGTTTTCATGATGGTTAGAAAAGCTAAGGTTGTTTTTGCATACTAAAGAGTTCAGATGCTGCTAGCATGAGACATGCGTTAGCACTCCAGTGCTTTACACTAAAACATCCAGATATCACATGCCAACACCCAAGTTCTTTTCCCAAACTCATATTCCTTAGCTGCTTGAAATTGCAAAGGCAAAAATACTCTTCTGGCTGCCATAGCCTTCTCCTAGTTCATGAAAGGAGACCTGAAATTTGGAGAAATTATTTTGTGTTCTTTCGATGTTGTGAAATGAAAACACATTCTCAGAATGTGAGAATAATAGAGATACTTCAGACGTATTTCACATGTGTAGGAAGAATTGGCAAGTGCGAGGAAAATCTAAATTTACTGAAATTCTAATTCTCCAAAGTGAATGCTACCAGAAACTTTAAAGACACAACAGAAATCTTATACTTTTGAATAGCAGATCACCGTGAGTGACACTTTCAAAGATGTTGTTACAGGACACATTTGAATGTTGAAGACTGTGAAGGAACTATAGTGATCTGGGTGTCTCCAAGAGGTGACACTGAAGATTTGCATATCCATGTAGGATGAATTTTATATACAATCCCCAAATGTGCATTTCCCCCCATGGGAAATAGGATTTTTCTTTATAGTTGTTACATCTTGGTTGAAAAGGGCAATTAAGCAAAAATAAAAAAGTTGTTGAAAACAAACAACATGAAAGCAGAGTGAATTACATTTTGTAGAAATTATCTGCTAGTAACAACTGTTTTATAAAGCTTATTTTATAAAAAAAATCATAAATATAATTCAATTTTCAAGGACAATTGCTTATATTATGAAATATAAACTTTTTAAAAATTTAAAAAATATAAGGTGCTTTACCAAGTAAATCAGTGTTATGTGATATTTTGTTTGCATTCTGACAAATAAAGCCTGCAAGGCAATCAGAGCGCAGAGCTAGCCACCAGTTAACTGTAGAGGCCAGGCAATTGTGGCACACACCTTTAATCCCAGCATTTGGGAGGAGGAAGCAGGAAGATCAGGAGGTCAAGGCCACTTTGGGCTACACAAGATTAAACCAGTGTAAAAGAAAAACAGAGCTGGGCAGTAGTGGTGCATGCCTTTAATCCCAGAACTAGGGAGGTAGAGACAGGAATATAAAATGGGTAGAGACAGGATCTCGGGCCCCCATAAGGTCTGAGGATTTGTAGAGGTAAAAAGTCTCTAGTGGTTGCTAGCAGGCTTCTCTGATCTTTCAGCTTTCACCCTAATATCTGGCTCTGGGTTTTTACTAAAAAAACTAATTAAGATTGAACTTTAAATCAGTTA